AGCGCTCGTCTTGCAACTCTGTCATGTGTGGAATGCCAGAAAATTCTATCGGCGGTCCTCTCCCAGTGGCCAAGACATATGGAACGGTTTTTGACTAATGGTTGGTTTCAAGTTCGTCGCTTGCTGACTACAACACAAAATGATAATCGGCATCTGTGAATGTCCCATCAGAGCTTTAATTTCACATTGCATCGTCTCAACCTTAATCCTTTTCACATGCCCAGCTGTGAGTGAGTCATCAGCTCTAGAGTTTTGAAGCACAGAAAAACTGAATGATTTTTATGGCCATACAAAGTCGTTTCCGACTTAAAAGAAGCACAGAAATGCTGCACTTGTAGGAGGGTCAGCAAGGCAAAGGTGTAGGCTCCTTCAATTCCTTCTGTCTCATCATCCCCTAAATAGCAGTTCTTAGTTCATGCAGCCTTCGGGAATAAGGGAAGAGTTGTGGTCAAGGATTCTTTCATGGGCTTGTTGGCTCAAACTCCACTTTTCTACCCAAAATGTGTACCGCACATTTACTATATTTAATAGATGACTTACATACATTAAGGTTTACTAAGTACATAACCCTGATGGCAATGCTATTCCTTTAAGAGCAGGACTGGAAAGGGACGCCATCCTTGGAATGCACTGCTAGGGATTGTTGCAGCACGTCTGAGCGTCCCGTCAAGAACATTTTTCTCTTGATGTTTCAGGAAGCTTTGGAAACTGCATTGTCTAATGCCTTTCACTGGGCAGGGGGGTCATGAGCAGGTTTTCACACACAGCTTGCTCCAGCTACGGGAGCTGTCGTTCATCCACACTCTGTACATGGGGGGGTGGGGTTGGGTGGCTGTGCATATAATGTGCCAGAGAAGGGCTCCAGTTGCAAGAAGCCTCCCAAAAGCACGTCAAGGCCTTGACACGTGTGACACGTGTGCACATGGGTGTGCGCCAGCATTTTACAGGGCCCACTATGACTGAGGGGCATGTGTTCCATGTAGAAATGGTACTTTTCAAGGGTCCTGTTTCTCAGAGGGAAGAACTGCCTCAGCTGCCAAACCTGGGCAGATTCGGGTGCTACCGCAGGCTCAGTGCCTCCGTATTTGTGTGAGTACATGTGAACTGAAAAGCCATGCTGGGTTTAAATGAAGGGATTATCTAGCTTTGTGCTCACATAGGACCAACCAGTTGCCCACAAGAAACCCACCGGCGGGATATCAGTGCAACTGTATCCTCTTGCCCATATTCCCCAGCATGGTATCTATAGGGATATTGAAGATAGTAATACCTCTATCAAGACTAGTGGCCATTGCCCAATTCTCTTTCAACACCATCCATCACTGCATCTTTTGGAAGTGAATCCCATAGTTTAACTGTGCACCATGGAAAGGAGGGCTTCTTTTTCTCTGACCTGAATATACCACCAGTCAGCTTCAGGGGACGGCCCCACTGTGTTCAAATATTATCAAGCAGGGAGAAACATGTCTCCTTATCTACTTTCTCCATTGCATATGTCATATTCCGCATGTGTTTGGGTATATATACATAGGGGTACATGAGATAAATATGTTGTGCCCATCCAGTGCAGAGCTGGAATTCCAAAATGGTCAGAAGAATTGCATTGACTTGTAATCAATACAAATATCTGGTCAGACTTATGGAAGCTTATCCAGGGGACCCCAAAAAGTTCACTGTGGGTGTATTTTTACCATCTGCAAAAACTTCCCACAAGCATTTCTTAGCATCATATCTATTTCCCACAGAGCAGGATGGTGATGAAGGAAGATGCCATGCTGCAGAACTCTGCAAGGGCCAAGAGCTGGTAGAATATTACTGTGTAGATAGCAGAGCAGAGCAGATTGGCGTTTATCTGCAAAGTCCATTAGTAGAACTCATACAAAATGGAAAGCATGAGTACAATATTGGAGTAATTAAACAGATGTTTTTCTAAAATTCAGCGGGAGTGTCATGTAGAAGGCTACCGGGGAAAAGGAGCTGGGGCCTTCACCCTGCATCAAGGGCCCATTACAACCCCCTAGCTTATGGCCAGAGATAGAATCAAAGCACCTTTGCTCTGAAGCACTCTTGCTCATCCTGAAGTGCTATGACTTACCTTACAGTTGTCCTCTTTCAATTTTGCTCCATTCCTTTTCTGGGCCCCTTTCCAGTGGATTGTGATGCTTCTGAGATGTAAGCCTATCCCCTGTCTGGAAAGTTCCTCTTGGTTACCCCGTTGTCATGCATGCAACAACCTGGTATTATCTGTTGGATGATACTGTGACTTTCCCCAAGGACATCTGGTGAGTTGCTTGGCTAGCTGGCAGACACAAGCAGAGGCACTGAAGTCTTAAGCCTAACATTGTGTCTACTCTTCCATCCTGGCACTCAGCTGAATTGACTATTGATCTTTAACTAGAAAATAGTTGTGTTTCACATTTCAAGGTGTCCTTCTAGACCTAGTTTTACATTCTTGGACCATTACTTCTCATTTCAGGAACTGGGAGTTGGTAGGCATACCTAGGGCCATGGGAGAGTGCCATTCTCATGTACTGGAGTGAAATATAAGTAATGCTTTTGTCACTAGTGATTATACTGGCACAGGCAGACGTAAAAAAGGATCGATACTGAAAAGTCTCAGTGTCCTTGGGAGACCGTGTGCACCTTCAGGGGTTTTTGACAGTGCAAAGGCATAGAAAGATTAATTTAGTTCTGAATGCATGTTGTCATGTTAATGAGGATGAAGTTAATGGACCAGATGCCATGTTTTGATGAACAACTATTGGAGCCCATGAAGATTGGATTCCAAGCCATTTTTGTTTCTCCATCCTCCACCCACCCTTCTGAGATAAGAAAAACAAGAAAGCAGACAGCAAAGAGTTCATGACTGAAGAGGCTGCAGCCCTTCACACCCCTGTCTGGAAGTTACCCCAACAAACAGAATGGGACCTACTCCTGAGTAGCCACATATACAATGGCATGGTTGATAGGCAATTATTCCTGAGATCTGGGCAGGGGGACTCAATGCTAGGGTTGTGAGAGGTGCATGTACAGTAATAAATGGTTACGTGCTTTTTACATTTCTTTTTATTCAATAGTGGAACTTTGGTTGGGAGTGAGGACGGAGTGACCTCCCTTGGAAGCAAGGCTGAATGTGCTTGGGGGCTTCCACTACTTCATTTCTGCATATCAAATAAGCCAACTGTGTAAAGTGATATCTGTGGGGAAAGGGGGGATGCGAAAGAGGGAGGTTTTTATTATTTGCAGTGATCCTTGCCTTCTGCTGCCTGCACCACGGATGCATAATCCAGGCTATCCCATGGGTGTGGTTTGGCTACCAAGAGATACCTATATGAGTTACGTATGAATGTAACTTGCATGTACTCCCCACCCCCCGCAAACAGCTCAGTGTGGACTCTCCCTGATAGTGCTTCCTACGAGAAATGAGAAGGCTCTTGCCCTCCTAGAGCCATGCGATGGTCCCCAGTCCCATTTGCCCGTGTTTCCTCCATCTTTATTGGCTCTGCCTCCTCTGGTATTGCAAAAATGAAAGGTAAACATCCATTTCCTAGGCCACTCAGCAGCTCTGTCCTGGGCCAGCCTGTGCCCTCCCTTTACTCTAAAGCCCTTTACTTAAGCCCAGCCATGTTGTCCTGCCTGCTCTTGATGCCAGCCTGGATGCGGGCTATACATGCATGCTGCCTTGGCCATTTCTTAGATGGGTTTCTAGGCTTTGCTCATCTCACTTTTCTTCTTGCTATACTCTCACGTGTCATTTCATCCCAGTTTTTCTTACTCTGCCCTGATTGTCTTCTTTAGTCGACACTTAGGCGCTGATGCACCAATGTAACATAGTGCTGTGGTTTATAAGGATACAAATGGAGCTTTTTACACATGGCATTTTGTCAGCCGCAAAGCATTATGGAAAGTATGATATGATGCAGTGTAAAACCATATGAGCTCTTGTGAGCTGTATAGAAATTGAATAGATAAATAGGTTTTACACCATGTTGAAGGTGTGTTGGCAAAACTAGCAATATTCACTGATGGTGCATGAGCCTCTACGGCAGGGTTGGGGCATGTGTGGTCCTTCCAATGTGCTTGAACTGAACATCTGCCCTACCTACCCAGCATAGCCAGTGATGAGGAATCATGAAAACAGCACTCCAACAACATCTGGAGGGCCAGGCATTGCCCACCTGTGTTCTAAAGGCAGCCATGGTGCATCCACATATGCTAGCAAATGGACTCTGGTGTTTAATAACCCGTTTATTATTTCAGAATGCACGGGTGGCCCAAGTGGGATATGCCTTCTCTCTTTATTTCTTTATTATTATTTATTTCAAGCCTTTATATCCCGTCCTTCTGCCAAGCGCTCAGGACAGCTTACACGCCATAAAATTGCAATGTAAAACCTCAATTATTAAAACAATATAAACATCATGTACTCAGAAAAGGGAAGAAAATAATAGAAAATGTGACTGTGGAGAGAAGAAAAAGAAAAAAATCTTAAAACATCTAAAACCCTTGATTATTAAAATGATGGTTGAATAAAAAGGTCTTTACCTGGCGCTGGAAGGAGTATAATGTCAGTGCCAGGCAGACCTCTCTGGGGAGCACATTCCATAGTCAGCAGCATTTAAGCATGTGGTGTGTTTTTTTCCCCTAAAAATAAATTAAATGTAAAGAGGCCTAGCAAAACAAAAAAACCCTACCATGGAACAAGAAGAAGGTTCACAATGTGCTTCTTGAATTGCAGGTGAGCTTTCTCGTTGTTCATAAGTCAACCTGGCCATGGATCTTGTTGCTTTGCTGAATGAGTGTTGAGAATCTATGCCCAGATGACTCTATTCCTACCACCATTATTTCCTTTAATGTCTCCCGGTCAGTGATCTGTATGCTTGGTGGCTTTGTGCCTCTCAGCCCACCGCTTACAGACTTTAACCGTTTCCTTCTGTTTTTCCCCACTCACAAGCAGTCTTTACTCTCTAACAGTTTCCTCCTGTTTTTCCTTTCTACAGTATATCGCATTTGCCTCCCTCTTCTTCATTCTGGTTTCCATCACTACCTTTTGCCTCGAGACCCATGAGAGATTTAATCCCATCGTTAACAAGACAGAGACGGAAATTGTTGGGAATGACACCCAGGTGCGTGTCTATCGGGAGGCAGAGACAGAAGCTTTCCTGACCTACATCGAAGGAGTCTGCGTGGTCTGGTTTACTTTTGAGTTCCTGATGAGGGTTATTTTCTGCCCAAACAAGATGGAATTTATCAAAAACACCTTGAACATCATCGACTTTGTGGCCATTCTGCCTTTCTATCTGGAGGTTGGACTCAGTGGCCTGTCTTCCAAAGCTGCTAAGGATGTCTTGGGCTTCCTGCGGGTTGTCCGGTTTGTGCGAATCCTGCGAATTTTCAAGCTGACCCGCCACTTTGTAGGGCTGCGGGTCTTGGGTCATACTCTCCGTGCCAGCACAAATGAATTCTTGCTGCTCATCATCTTCTTAGCATTGGGCGTCTTGATCTTTGCCACAATGATCTACTACGCCGAGAGAATAGGTGCTAAACCCAATGATCCTAGTGCCAGTGAACACACACACTTCAAAAACATCCCCATTGGCTTCTGGTGGGCTGTTGTCACCATGACCACCCTGGGCTACGGAGACATGTATCCTCAGACTTGGTCAGGCATGCTGGTGGGGGCCCTCTGTGCTCTCGCGGGCGTGCTGACCATTGCCATGCCTGTACCCGTCATTGTGAACAATTTTGGAATGTATTACTCCTTAGCTATGGCTAAGCAGAAGCTACCAAAGAAAAAAAAGAAGCATATCCCTCGGCCGCCCCAGCTGGGATCCCCCAATTATTGTAAATCTGTCATAAACTCTCCACATCACAGTACTCAGAGCGACACTTGCCCACTCGCCCAAGAAGAAATGTTAGAAATTAACAGAGCAGGTAGGAAACCTCTTAGAGGAATGTCCATCTGACCTTTAACCTCCATCCTTTGTAGAGATCGAAGAATTCGGCCAGACTGCTTTCTTAGCACAGTGGGTAGCACAACGCCCCACCACTGTCCCACCACCACACACGGCATAATGCGTGGGACGTGCAGGTTGCAGGGACAAACGGTGCAGGAGCGGCCAACAAGCGAAACCTAGGCATGCACGCGATGGGAGCCTTAACACTGGTCCTGTTTAATGGGACGTTTACATGATTTTAAGAGATAAATACATCCAGTGGAAGAATATTTTTTAGAGCTTGCATTGCTGGACTGCATTAATACATCAAGTTGGCTCCTGAGCATTGTATGCTTCCTAGCATACTGGGTGTCATGGGTGCAGGTCTTGCTCAGGAAAGCAAGCAAGCAAGCAAGCAAGCAAACACACATTTTCCCCCTAGACAGAGTTTTCCCACTTGTTCCTAGCTACTTTTAAAGCTATAGCAAACCATGCCTTTGGTGAGAGGAACAAGATGGCTACCTATACCGCCAACATTTTCAGTTTCATGAGAGAACCATGTCTTTTCATATTGTTAGCAGCTAATGAGCTTAGATCTCCCAACAAAAAGCAATGTGGTTCACAAGGGAGCAAAGTGAAATGCAGGGTGTTTATTCCATGGCAGGTGACCCTGACCCATTTTCTAACGACAGGAGCTGATGAGCGCTTAGATACTGAACTCCGGGAGTATCAGCGCCAGGTCTGTGAGCTACAGCTCCTTCAACCCCCTACCCTGAAAGGCTGGCTGAAATGGGGAGACTACTGGCCATTTGTTCTGAAGAGCCAGGAATGAAAATCTCCTGGGCTACTCTTTTCTTTTTAATGTTAAGTGATAAATGACAGCAATAAGAAAATATTCCCGTTCAGACTAAACTAGCTTTCCTATTAGTTCGACACTGGGGGTGGGGAATGAGAATACTAGTCTTCATGGAATATATTCTAGTATTCCATGGCTAGTGGTTAGTTATGGGACTATCTCAGTTTTATGAGACTCCACAAAGAGCACACAAAGTTACAGGGCTTTGGTCCAATTCGTTCCACCCCATAATCTACCTCTACCCATGGAATATCATCGACCTATTCTGTGGAAAAGAAAATGTGATTTTAAAGTCAATAACCGCACATTATTTTGGCTGGTGAAATGAACATAGGTTCCGACCTTCAGCCTATTAAAACAGCAAAAAGCAAACAAACTGAACCCCCACAAAATTCCCCATGGGTAAATATTGCGATAAAGGTCATTTATACAGTGGTGTGCGCCAATCTTTAGTAGTTAGGGATACGTTTCAAAACCAGCATATACTGATGATGGTCTTGCAGTATCATTGATTGATTGATTGATTGATTGATTTGCGTACTTCCTTTTTGGTGGAAATCTAATTTATTGCTCCATGTGGGTGAGAAATCCCCTCTTTCCATCTCATAGCCATGCATGTGGATGCTCTTGAAAGTACACAAAAGAAGCGCGACTTTCCTTTGTGTGTGTGGCTTCACCAGTGCCAACGCTAATTTGTAGGAGATGGGGAAGTGATGGTAGAAAATGAACTTTGCTGCTGTTTCTTTGTGGAACTCTGTAAAATCCATCCCAATGGTAAAGAGCTTTCATTTTTGCCACTGTTCTTCCCTGTGGATTTTTCTTTTCAACCTTTAATTTGATTTGGAGACTTCCATTGCACCAGGCTGGCCACAATCCATGCAAATGATTGCCTCTTTACTCTTTTGACCCTTTGCACACACCTATGTGGTTCCCCCCCTCCATGCTCCTCCGGTTGCAAATGCTTATCACAAAGTCATCACCAAGCAACAACGCACCTTCTTCATGAGTAAATACATGCACAAGCGGCTCTATGAAGCAGGGAGAGTAAGAGGGAGCTCATGAAGCAGTGTGGCCCATGCATCCGACTGCCCGCCAGTGCCATGACAGATTGGCTATCCATGGTCCATGGTGGAGCCAACGCGAACTCATCAGCGCTCTGAATCACCCGCGACCTCTGTGTAGAAAAGGTCCTGCTGGACACCTATTATCTCGGATGCGATTCTTCTTATAGGTGGGGTGGCATGGAATAGGCACTGGCCATGGCAGCACCAGCCTGCCTTCTGCTACTGGGGGAGCAGTTCTGGCCCAGTGTCGCTCACGCGGAAGCTTCAGCACTCCAGCCGAGGTATGAGAAGGGTCGCGCCGAGAAAACAAGTGCCCAGCCTGCTCGCACTGCTCTCAACGCCTGCCATGTCTTTCTGCTTTTCCCTGGCTCCAGAGCCCACCCGTACTTTGCCTAATGGAGCTGGACTGCAGCACCCACTCATTCATTCGGTGTAGCCTAAAGAAGAAGTGGCATGCTTTAAGTGGAGGGGATCTGTAATATTCAGGGGCAGGAGAAGCTGTTGCCTTTCTCCAATCAGATCTCACATAGGCACCCCGTTTCCTGAGCGCAGGCACTGTATGGCGGCGAGCGTCACGACGGCACGCTCACGAGGCTCTTGACAGTCAGTCACTGGGACTGGATAGCCTAGACTCTGGAGGACAGAAGAGACCAAAGGGCATCACAGGGGACACACACTCATATCAGGCCACGGTGGGGATAGGCAGTCTTAGGGAGGAACCGGAAACGCCCGTGTTCCTAAGTGGTTAAAAGCAAGGCCAAGTCACTTTCACCACTAGGCTGGAAAAACATGCTATTTCTTATCACTGCTTCTCCAGCAACCTGCTGCTATTGGGTGTTTTGTATCATACAGAACCAATGGCCAAGTATTATGAAGTTTCCGGAATTGCAAACTGCAAAGGCACTACCCTTGCAAGTTGAGGCAGAACATGTTTTTATGAGTATAAATAAAAAAGTATAATAATAAAATAAAATAAAATAAAATAAAAAAGTCTTTTTTCTGCCCAGATTTGCATAGGATGATGCTCTTAATGAATATTCTTAATAAATACTCTCTGTGTGGTACATTTCAGACACTGGCCAGCTCAGCTATATGCAGCTTCTAGGTACTAGGAACCCCAAATAACTTCACCCAGTCTTCATGTTATTAGCACACCAAATTTTGTTTAACCCCCCCCCCCCCCCCCCGTGCATGTCCTTGCTTCCAGGACCAGTTAAATTACAGAACGGAGACACCTTCCCAATATTTGCACTGGTATCTGCTCTCTCCAGTCCTGACCATCGCTATCGAAGAACGCAACATCCTACCAAGTTACATATTCCCAAAGTGATGAGCTTCAAACTCACTAGATGACAAGGAGGGTCAAATGACCCCACCATATTATTCAAGGGTTAAATAAGCACTACAGATTGAAGGTTATTAGGGGGCAGGTTCTTCATCTGACATGCACCTTAACTCATCTTGGGTGAAATAGCTCGTGATGGCCTGAGCCAGCTCACTGAGACACACCATTGGGCCCTCTAAGCTCAGTACAGTCAGCACTGCCCTGGCTGGCAGCAGCTCTTCAGGGTTTCTGGCAGGATCCTTTCCCTGCACTGGGCATTTAAACAGGCACCTTCCAGAGACCACTGAGCCAGAGCCCTTCCTGCAGCCACCCACTGCCTGGGCCTTGGTATCTTGTTCAAGGCCTGTAAAATAAATAGGAGCAAATTCAGCTTGCCCAAATCAATACAATAATAACAACCGTTTGCTCATAAAGTGAGCTTATGTATCTGAAACAAAACAAAGCAAAACAGGTGGACGATATGCAACTAGATCCATCTACCATGTCTGCCTTTGTGACTCATTAGAAGTTGAAATGTATAGCCAGCTGCACTGCACTGCCTCATGAGGAACACCATATATTTCAAAATAATGATAAAAAACAGGCTGTTCTGTGTTGTTGACGGCAGCGGTGATTCCTCACTGAAGCTGCATGTGCAGATAAATCAGTGATGTTTGCAGAAAGTATGTGAACATAAAGATTTTAAGAAGGGGGCACAGCTCCATGGTGGAGCAACTACTTTGCATCAGGTTCAGTTTCCAGCATCTTCAAGCAGAGCTGGGAAATGATTTTGCATTCTGGTGAAGAACGCAGGGCGGGTTCCATAGCTTAGTTTTATCCTCCCAACAACTAACCTATGAGGTAAGTTGTGCTGAGAGTCCCTGACCAGCCCTAAGTCACCCAGGGAGCTTCATGGCGGAGTGTGGAGTAGAGCCCTGATCTCCTGGGTCCCCAGTCCAACACTCTCACCACCACGCCTCACTGACCCTGAGGCGCTGCTCCCACACTGACTTTACACAAAATAGCCAGTTGAAAGCGCCCCAGTCTTCTGATTTACCCTGTGCCTGAATGATAGATAAAACAAATTCAGAAATGCTAGCCTCAACTTCTGCTATGTCTTGATCAGGCCCAGAATGGAAAGAGAAAGTGTGCATCTCAAATCCATTTTTTTCTAGGCACCCAGAATCACACAAGATAAAGCTGGGCACATTTCCGGGTCATTCCCTTCTAAGACTCCCTAAGATATTTCAATGGCTTCATGTCATAGAATTTCCCAAGGTCCACTGTAATAAAATGATAAAGTAACATGTAGCTTTGGTTCCCTACCACTGCCCCTGTTGTCACAATAGGAAGTTATAGAAAATTAGAGTGAAAACAAGTGCTATATTCTCTGTCTGACTGCCATGTCCATAGCAATTTCTCCCCCCACCTGTTTCTGTAACATTAAGGAACACTTACTGTGGTTCTTCTTGTCATCACATTGAGGATTTCTCTGGTGGGGCTGAGAAAGCTCCGAATGTCATTCCACTGCATAACATGATAAGACATCCCAAATTGCTGAAGGGGATACTATGGGGAGAAGGGGATACTATGGCAGAGGGAAGCAGGTTTCAGTGCTATCCTTGTGGGAGTGTAATGTCTACTCACATTGTAATGGATGGTTTAGGGAGGTCAAAAGTTTAATCCATTTTATATTAAAATGCTGATGAATGAAAATAGCATCATACAGGTTTAGATTGTTTTGAAGGGAAGAA